TTTTTCAGCGACCGCCTGCACCAAATTCGCCGCGGCAGAGCACAACCCCAAGTACATTTGCAGTTCCAGACCCCCCTCAACAGCCAAATGCAGAGCTGGCCAGGCAGATACGCGCGGAACGCGCAGAACTTCGGGGCTTCCTGAATTCCAATTCCTTTCCGTCAGAGCGACGTCTCAAAAAGTGGCTTCTGCGCATGGTGAGCGAAATTCAAGAAGCACCACCTCCCGCCGTGAATCTGGCATGGGTAATGCGGAGCATGCGCTGGACAAGAAGGCACCTTGGATGGCTCCACTACTCCTCGCTCCTGGACCTCTGGACTTCCAGCAAGGAAAATCCAGCAACGGCTTTCAATGTGCAGCGCCAAGCCGGCACGGAACTCTACCGACGCGGAGGTCGAGGATGCATGCAGTTCAACTTCTACGTCCTCCACCACGTCATGTGCAGCGAGCACTTCATGCCGGACCCCCCGCCGGCCGCGTTCGCCTTTTCCCATCACCTGGAGAAGGTGTGGGACGGCATCGGTTCGTGGCAAGCCTGAAGGAAGACTGAGGGCAGCAGGAATGCCAGGTAGATGCATGCCAGGCACGCAGAAAGCCTCTCAGATTCAAACCCACTCGACGACCCTTCGGAGAGGAGAACAAAAAGAGAGAACTGTGCAAAGTACAGGCAAGCACTCTAAGATAAGATGTAGAATCACAAGAAGAAGCGCGCCGCGCAACGATGCACATGCCATGATCACGAAAGTCAGCAGCCCTTGCAAGCAGTGCCCTGTCCTTCCAAATACGACAACGCTCAGCAAATCTGGCTCAGGTCCCGGAAAGCAATCAGCAGGTAGCAGCCAGAGAAGACTTCCCAGCAGCGACACTCCGCTTGTAACATGACGGCGCAACAATCACTAAGAGTCCTTTCGCTCTCGGGCGAGGAGCTCGTGACCGTGTACTTCCAGGCGCCAGCCACCATCAGGCAGCTGAAGGAAGCACTGAAAGATGCCTGCAACCTGCCACGATTTCGACAGAAACTGCTGCTGCAACAGCGGGTCCTCGCAGACGATCAAGATCTTGACCAGGTCCTCGACCTGCAGCTCGTGAAGCTGAGTTACACCGCGGCCACCGACGCTCAAATCGAAGGCCTGCTGCGCGCTGCAGCAGACGGTGCAGTTGACAGAGTCGAAGACATCCTGCAGCGGCCACAGAACCCGAACGACTACCTGCGAATCCACCTAGAAGAGCACACAGACATCTACGCGAGCGCTCTATCTTTCGCAGCACGCGAGAACCACACGGACGTCATGCAGCTGCTTGCTAGATGCCCACGCCGACCTCCAGGCGCCCGGGAGCGACATCGCGCTGTGGCTGGCTTCCCGCAACGGCCACCAGGCAGCAGTTCGAGTTCTGCTGGAAGCGAGAGCCGACGTCGACTGCTACAAGGATAGCACAGCTTTGTACGCAGCGGCTGAGCACAACCACCCACAAGTCGTACAGGTGCTGCTAGAGTCCATTGCAGATGTGCGCAAGCCAAATTCGGCAGACACATGGACACCGCTCCAGGCCGCCTGCTTCTTCGGGCATTGCAACGTAGCAAAGCTTCTGCTGTCCCATCGAGCCGATGCTATGCGTTCGCAACAGAACGACCCAAACAGCCCGTTCAGACTTGCCCTCGACCAAGGGCACACTCTTGTTGTCCAGCTCATCCAAGCAAGCCTCAAAGACCGAGACAGAAAACGCACGGCGCCAACCTCAGTGCGTGAGCACCTCACACCAGCACCCTGGATCGGCAATTCTGCACGCTCCAGGCAGTCGACCTGACGGATGGCAGTCGTTAATCTGCAGGTCCACATTGCGGCCATCGTGATGCCCAAGTGAAACAGCAGCAATTACACGGACAGACAAGGATCTGAAAATAGTTGTAAATCAGGACCGTGCAAGAGCGAATGCTGCTACCAGGAACAAAATATGTCTCTGGCAAAGCTTGCAGCTTCCCTGCTCAAACCNNCCCATCGGTAAAAAGAGGACACGTCATGACAGCTTGCCGCAGAGTCTATCATCAAAAAGCAATTGCCCTGAGCGCCGCAGCAAAGCGACAGTGGTGCCGTGGTCAGCAGTACAGAGAGCCCAGGAAGTCCAACCGGAAGAATGCCCGATGCAGCCGAGGCAAGGGTGCACAAGATGGCCGCGCTGATCGCACTCGCAAACGCAACGTCCGCAATGACGAGCCCAAGCGAGATTACTCCAACGTCGACGACCTCGACACGCCAGTCAGAGGAAGCAACAGCTCAGGCCAAGCCCCAAGAAATTCACATTCGAGAACCAAACCCAATGCAGCCTCATCACAGGTGACTGCCAAGGACAAAGAGGCCACCGACCCGGCGCCTGCAAACCAAGATGCACGCCAACTGGCCCGGCACTTAGGCTAGGCATCCAAGGCAGCACGTCACAGACGCACATTCACGCATCCATCCAGCACCGCTGCAGCACATGCTCAGGTCATGCAGGAACCCAATGAAGAAGCTGCCGATCCACAGAACAACGCAAAGCCCAGCAAGAGCAATGCAGTTCCTGCGCCTCAGATCGGAGATCGCATCATGGTCACTAAGGAAGCATGGCTAGCACTCATACTGAGCGGCACGAAGACTATGGAGGTGCGCACTAGGCCTGCATCGAGAGGTCACACATGGATCGCGTACGATGGCATGGTCTATGCCTCCGCCGAAATATGCGAGTGCAGCCTCTTGTCAACAGACGATTTCGAAAAGACCCGAGAACAACACCGGCACATCGGCAAAGCACCACCTTACGAAACCCTGTATGGACTAGTGCTTCGAAACATCTCAGAGCTGGCAACCCCAGTCCCACACTACCGCAAGCCAGCAACTTGCAACTGGACGCTCTTCAAGACGCAAGAAGAGGATCGAATTCCCCGAAGGAAAAGGGCAGCCCCCAGCAGACAGCGCAGCAGTGAAGCCTTGCAAGACGGCGAAAAGCACTACGAGGAAACAGAGGAAGAAGAACCTGCACAGCGAGATCTGCAGCCCAAAAAGAGCTCGAAGCCAGCAACGGCCTTGCCCAAAACCGCGCTGCGCCACAAGTTGCCCAACAAGAAGTGAGTCTACCACCGAGGACTTAGCGGCGACTGTCACCCCACTGTACAAAAGATTTCTTCGCATTGTACAATGTACAACAGCTCACAGATGCGACAGAACCTGCGAGAACAAAAGAAGTTACTGAGTCACTGCTGGACACAATAAGCCTTCGTATGACGTCCTCATGATGCAGCACGCACACTCGCACCTGTTCGGCCTCCTCGTAGTCCACTTGCTTCTGTCGTCGATGGCTCTCTACTCCCAGTTTGAAGCGAGACATACAGACTGCAGCCAGTGAACCCACTGAAGGTCCGCAGTCCAAGCCCACATGACAGCAATGCCGCGAAGATCCCCCTGGGCCGATGTCGAGGTCGGCGTGGCCGTCCAGTATAATGCTGCATTCGCCAGTAGTGTTGACTGCCCACGTTGCCAGGACAGCCCCGTGGAGGAGACGCAGCTGCAAGAGGTACATTATCCCCGCACTGTGCTTGAGGAAACCAGAGAATCCTTTCACGAGGCACTCCAAGCAGAACCTCGTCGAAGACGAAACAAGAAGTCCGCCGGGGCGCGAACGCAGGAGCATGTCCACTACAGCCGGTGGGCAGAGCAGAGCCACTTAGCTGAACTTAAACAGTCAAACAGCTCCATCCGAGCACGTCTCCCCTTCGGCTCGACCCAGTCCAGGCAGCCGAACGGCAGCGTGCAGCAACGCAGCGGCAAGGACGCCCCCGCCCGAATCTCGAACAAGCTTGACAGCATCCCCCCCCCCCACCCTCCACCAGAACAAAAGAATGCCTAAACTAGCAGGACGGGACATCCGCAGCAACATGCAGCAGTCGCTGCCGATAGAGGTTGGCAGCTCAGACCTTCCAGCTGCGATGCTGTGTGCAGCAAGCCGCAGTTGCCACATGAGGTTCAGATCTCACGCAGAGCTACAACACACGAGGCCACGAGATCCTTCAGGAGGAAATCCGCGAGTTTGTGCACGCTGCCATGTACCGACAGCTGCAACCGGAACAGCTTCGCTGGTGGCAAAGCTCCCTGAGGCAGCGTTGCCGGCTCCACCGATTCTCCTGCCGAACATGGTTCCAGTTCATATACGAGTGGCACCCCACGGACGATCCTGCACAGCTACTACAACAGCAACGACTACCACCGGCGGATCCAAGCCTGAGGCCTAATCAGACGGTGCTCATCTCGAACCGAAGTGAAAATGTCTGGGAGCAGGCCATCGCTCCGGCAAACTGGGAAGCCGAACCAATGCTGACATATGCCATTCCACTCTGCATTCCAATAGTGCTGCACATCGAAAACAACGCTCAGCCAACATCCAGGCGCGGCGTTCTTGTTCACAGAGTGTGAGGGCGTCTCCCACGGCACGAGACTCATGCTCGACTGAACTGCATAGCGCTTGTTAGCACTGCATTCGCTTTTTCTCCCTCAGAAGAAGCAGAGGGCAAGACCCAGAACTATGCAACGCAGAGCCCTTGAAGTCGAAAAAAAAGGCATGCAGATCAAGCTACAAGTAGCATCGCATGCAGCCGTGGACCACCATGAATGCTGAGCTTGAAATGCTAGACCGCAGAAGCCATTTGCAAAGCCCTAGAACTGACGACGTAGCCAGCACTCTATCGAAAAGGGTAAACCAGCCAAGCGCACTCATGATCCACTTCCACAACTTGGCAGGGACGAGAACGACATCTTGCCCGGCATGGGCCTTCGTGCCAATGCTGAACGGGACCACTGCGACGCAAGCGCTCAGAAGGTATCTGCACTCAGACGGACAAGCTCCACGCTTCCGCACTACACTGGTGGTTGCGGGAGACATTCTGCGTGACGAAGACCCCTGGAGCAAGCTCGAAGAGATCCTCAATGCAGAAGAAGCTCTCACCGTACACTACCTGACACACGCATGCCAGCCCGGATTTCGGACAGAAATTCAGGATAGCATCCATGCCAGATCTGCCGCCGCACTACAACGTCTGCTGGAGAGGTATGCGGACCCCAACATGCCCCTGCAGATGTTCAACCACAACACGGACTGGCGGCCGCTGCATCTGGCGACCTGCCTCGGCGCCAAGAACATCGTCCGTCTTCTGCTGATGGCCGAGGCCAATGTGGAGGAGGGACATCCAAGCAAGCCTCTGGCCACGGCCTGCCTGCACGGAGACGCGCAGATTGGAGGCCTGCTGCTACAGGCAAGGGCCAACCCCAACACTGAAGATGGCAACGGACAGGCGCCCCTTCACATTGCCGCAGCCGTCGGCAGCACACGACTGGTGCGCTTGCTCATACAAAGTGCCGCTGACATAGAACAGCGCGGAAGCCGCCAGCAAAGCGCTCTACACGCAGCAGCCCTGAATGGCAGCCCGGCACTACTTCGACTCCTGATCTCGTCCGCAGCAGACATTGCTGCGCAAGACTGCAAGGGCCGGTGCCCGCTGGACCTCCTGCCGTCAAGAGCAAGCTTCACACAGCGCTTCCGCTGCAGACAGCTCTTAGACAAGAGGCAGCAGAGAAAAACACCGAACCCAATGCATGCCAAGAGCAGGGAGCGACAGCAAGAGTCCAAGGTCGAACCCACAGCTCGGAGCCCACTGCAAGGTAGCTGGCAAGAAAGGGACAGTTGTCACAGTACAGTATAACACAGCAGTCAATCTTGCTGAGACTCCCGAGCCTTGCACACACTCCGAAAACGGAGGCAAGCTGCGCAGCGGGCCAGTGTCAGAAAAATTCCTGCGCGAATTGCGAGGTGACAAGCCAGCGAAGACATGTTGAAAGCAACACCCCGCAAGAAAGAGCCCGCAGCTTAGCATAGCGCAGACCTTGCGGCTCAAGAAATCAGCTGGCAAATATCCGGGGTCTCATGAATAGGCTCCTGGCAGAGCTACAGGGCGAGCAATGCGGCATCCTACGCGCCATGCTAAAACGAGACGACCTTCTGCCCGTCTTGTGCCTGTGCAAACAGGTAGGTTTCTCCAGAGCCGGATGGGTGCAGGACTTGAGGAACGATCTGAAGCGCCTGCAGACTGTGCTCACACCTCTGCCAGGGATGCTCCTGCGGTGCCCAGGCTTCAGCCGCCCCGTCAAGTTGCACGCGTTCGCCAAGAACCACCAACGCCTCAAGAACAACCCTGCTTGGACCGCGGAGCCGGCCAGCATGGTGCTTTGGATGAGTGTCAACCACCTGCACAACCTGACACCAGTGGAAGCGATACGGACGATGAACAAGTGGCCGGTCGCAAGCAAGGCCGCAGCAGCCGCGCTGAGCAGCTTCCTGGAGGTCGCCAATCCCAGCTTTCACTATGCTGTACGTAGCATGAGCCGCCATCAGCGAGCGATATGGGTGATTGTCGAGTTGCGCATTCGCTTCGAGTACCGCGGCATCACGGGATGGTTGTACACACGCGAAGTTCTGAGCCGACCTCCCTAGGCCACGAAAGATTGAGCACCTGACACAGCCAGAATAGAAAAAAAGACAAAAGAGCGCGCCCCGCGCAGACGATGGCCTGCACTCATTACTGCAAAAAAAACCCTTACAAGCTTCATGCTGCCCGCAGCTGCAAGCAGCACAAGCGCAGGCATACCAACCAAAAACTTAGAGCCATGCAAGCTACTCACCAGGAGCCGGTGCTATGGTGCAAGCTCCACCGAAACAGCTTCATGCCGGACTGCCCCGACTGCGAACTGGCCCAAGCAATGGTCCTCAGCATGCTGGAAGCTGGCCTAGAGCCCCCGCTTCTGCCTGACGCCACACCTCCAATTACATGGTGCCCGCTGCATGCAACCCCAGAGGAGCTCTGTGCACACTGCCAGCAACAAGTGCAGGAGCTGGACCGAGTCGTATTGGCCGGAAGGCTGGCGCCTCCACGCCGTCAGCTCAGCGTGCGACTACTCAGCGGGAAAGAAGTGCAGGTGCCCTTCAGTTCCGATGACACGATTGCGGACGTGAAGACAAAGCTCAGCATCCTACTTCAAATCAACCCGGAACAAATCAAACTCATGAGCCAGGTCGAAGAGGGCAACGAACCGCCCTTGCTGCAAGACGCAGATCCCGTAGCCCTACACCAGAACGGCTTGCATGCGGTCATCGAGTCTGTCACGCCTTGCAGGAGCTGGACGAGAACAGGCAGCTCGAAGAGCGCCATCCCAACACAGAAGTAGGAGACGACGCCGATGCGTCGAGAAAGAAAGGCACCTGCATGCTGCACAGCACCTAACAGCCACATCCAGTGCCAGCATTCAGTAAGGATCTTTCGCAACACAACATCGTGCCGCTCAAACGAATAGCTGTACATGTGTCTGCCCCTCTCCTTCCCGTAGCCCTTCCACCATGGCTGGCCAAGCTGAAGGCGCTGCAGAAGCTTGCATGTGGTGGCACGCAGCATGCGACGAGAAGAAGCTACAAAGCGCCGACCCGAAAGCCCTCGCACAGCTACAAGACAAATACAACTTCCGCAATTTGGCGATGATTTGCATCGACGACGAGAACATGAACATGCTGCTGAGCGTGCTCTGCAGCATGAGCGACAAAGAAAAGCGCGAGGAAAAGTTCCCCGTGGAGTTCCCCGGCAAAGGCACCCGTCTCTTCGAGTACGACGAAGACACGCAGCTCCTGTGTCACTGCAACGGCGAAGGTACCTTGCTGATCGCAGTCAACAACTACCTGGCTTCTCAATGGAAGACATCCACATTGTCAACACCCACCAACAGCCAGGTCGGCCGCTGGACGTTCAAAACGGTAGCTGTCCACAGCGACGGCCGGCACAAGGACTCCAAGGCAGCCGAAACACAGTACAGTGACACCTATAGCAGGACAGACAAGAAGGCCAGGCCCCGCTGCAGCAAGAGCCTCTGAGACGCAGACCAGCGAAAACGCATGAATGATCTTCCAGTGCACACACACGACATCCAGACTGCCACAGCAATGCTGCAAAGACAAAAGAGCATGCCGGCCGATGCATGAGATCTGTTGAAATCTTGCAACCTCCATGTCACACGATTGCTTACTACGAGCCGCAATCTTGGACGCACCAATTTCAGCCAGGTACCAATTCAAAGCAGCACAGCATTGTTTTAGCCGCACCGACACCTCATCCGCAGCCGCTGCCGCCGCCGCGCTAGCCACCACCATCACTACGCCTAGTTCCAGCGACCGACTACGAGAGTTCAGGCGCATAGCATACCGCAGAGCAAGGGTGTAGACTACAATCCTGACTGGCCTTGGACCAACGGCAGCTCCACCGGCTCAAGTGCAAAGCGCATCAGTTCACTCTTATAGTCGCGAGCACGCCAGGGGAGCAGCCCGCACCGGCCTTACAAAATCTTCACTGCTCGTGGCTAAACAAATCAACAATCGCAGTGGCGCCGAGGCAACCTCATCGCCAAGAAGACAAAGCAGTGCC